TTCCTCCTTTTCCTTCTCCCCCTCTTCCTCTTCTTCCTCCTCCTCCTCCTCCTCCTCCTCCTCCTCCTCTTCTTCTTCTTCCTCCTCCTCCTCTTCCTCTTTCTCCCCTTCCTCTTCCGTTCCCCCCCCTCCTCCTCCTCTTCTTCTTCTTCTTCCTCCTCCTCCTCTTCCTCTTTCTCCCCTTCCTCCTCCGTTCCCCCCCCTCCTCCTCCTCTTCTTCCTCTTCCTCCTCCTTCCACCTTCCACTTCTCTCCTTCACCTCCCAGTAGCGGCCGAGGATGATTCTACATAATCCTTCGGCAAAGGCGGTACCCCCCCCCCCCCCTTCCCTCAGTCTCTTACCCCCCACCCCCCCTCTCCCCTCTCCTCCGCCTGTCTATCTCTTGTCTGAGGGCGAGAGAGAAAGAGAGAGTGACAAGAAAAGAGTGAGAACAGAAGGAGGTGAAAGAAACAGGTTCAGTGAGGTGTGTAGGTGATAAAATAGCGGAAGAGAATGGAGTAGAAGAGAGAGAGAAAGAGAGAAAGAGAGAGAAAGAGAGAGAGAGAGAGAGAGAGAGAGAGAGAGAGAGAGAGAGAGAGAGAGAGAGAGAGAGAGAGAGAGAGAGAGAGAGAGAGAGAGAGAGAGAAGGAGAAGGAGAAGGAGAAGGAGAAGGAGAAGGAGAAGGAGAAGGAGAAGGAGAAGGAGAAGGAGAAAGAGAAAGAGAAAGAGAAAGAAAGAAAGAGAGAGAGAGAGAGAGAGAGAGAGAGAGAGAGAGAGAGAGAGAGAGAGAGAGAGAGAGAGAGAGAGAGAGATGTCTCAGAGTGCCAGCGGTTGTGTCCTCCTCCACCTCCACTTCTTTCATGTGCCATCTCCATGTGGCTCTCCCATGTGGTCTCATCATGTTGTATCACCATCTCGCCACCATAACACTGTCACCACAATAAGCACCATCACAAACATCACAACATGTCATGTCGGTCATTACCCTGCATATCACAAACACCATAAACGTTATGAACACCATCTCCTTCGTAAACATCTTCATCATCACGATCATCGTTATAAACACCCTCATCGTCACCATCACCACCAGCGACGGTCACCACACGTTCATCATCTCAGCGGCTCACCACCACGCCGCTAAAATGCTCACCTTTAGTTCACAAACCCCTTCGGGCACCACATAAGCAGGCAGAACACCACACTTCACTTTACTCCTTCCTCACCATCATCACTATCGCCTCTCCCTCCTCACCATCATCATCACTATCGCCTCTCCCTCCTCACCATCATCATCACTATCGCCTCTCCCTCCTCCTCATCATCATCACTATCGCCTCTCCCTCCTCCTCATCATCACTATCGCCTCTCCCTCACCATCATCACTATCTCAGCGTCACTCCCCCATTCCTCTCCCCGCCGTCACTATATCACAGTATTATGAAACTTCACCATTATATATGGTGGGGGGAGGAGGGAGGGGATAACTAATGGGAAGGGGGGGGTGGAGAGGGAGAGAGAAAGAGAGAGAGGAGAGGAAGAGAAAGAGAAGGGAGCGAGAGATAGATAGATAGATAGATAGATAAATAGATAGATAGATAGATAGATAGATAGATAGAGAGAGAGAGAGAGAGAGAGAGAGAGAGAGAGAGAGAGAGAGAGAGAGAGAGAGAGAGAGAGAGAGAGTGAAAGAGAGAGAGAGAGAGAGAGAGAGAGAGAGAGAGAGAGAGAGAGAGAGACGTATCGAGGGCGCGAGTGACGGAGAGAGGGGAAGGGAAGGGAAGGGAGGGAAGGGGAAGGGGAAGGGGGGAAACACGCCACCACCTCACCACCACAAGCAGCGCGTAAGTCATCACACTCTCACCACCACGAGAGTCGAGTGAGGGTGAAGGGAACGGGTGAGGGTGAGAGGAGAGAGAAGGGAGACTGTGAAGTGTCTCTAGATCTGAACTTTAACACACAAAAAAATAAAAAAAAGGGAGAAAGAGGGGAAAAGAGCGAGGAGAGCAGGATGGAGAAGAGAGAGAAAGAGAGTGAGAGAGAGTAGAGAGAGAGAGAGAGAGAGAGAGAGAGAGAGAGAGAGAGAGAGAGAGAGAGAGAGAGAGAGAGAGAGAGAGAGAGAGAGAGAGAGAGAGAGAGAGAGAGAGAGAAAGAGAAAGAGAGAGAGAGAGGGAGGAGACACCACAAGACGGGGCCCCCACACATCCTCACCTGTAAGAACTTGCCCTCAGCTGGCGTGGCGGGCGCGAGAGGGGAAAAGACTCCCCTCACCAAGACCTGGTCTCCCGCAGTATATTTGCCGTGATGGTCTCGGGTGCGGACAGACACAGTGAGCAAAGCACGACGGCCCCCGGGTGTCGTCGCCTCAATCCCCCCCGGGCTGTGGTGCTGGGCGGCGGCAGCAGAGGGCCCGAGCACGTACAGGAGCAAGATAGTCACGACCCCCGCCAGCTGTGGCTTGGTCAGGCGAGGATGAGACACCGCGGACATCAGCGAGCTAAAGGGGCTGCTCCCACCATCACTGTTCCTCTCACACTGCGCTCGCCAGCTTGCCCCGGCCGCTGCCTCCCTCCCTCTCTCTCTCTCTCTCTGACTCTCTCGCTCTCTCTCTCTCTCTCTCTCTCGCGCGCGCCCTCTCTCTCCCCCTCCCTCTCTCGCACCCCTCGTCTGGGCTACCACCGGTCCTCCCCCCTCCCCCTCTCTCTCTCATCCCCGCTCTCCCTTTCCTCTCTCTCTCTCTCTCTCTCTCTCTCTTTATTTTTCTGTTTTTATATTTCTCTCTCGCTCTCTCTTCTCACCTCTCCTCTTTAACTATCTAACCAACATTTCTCCCTCTCTTTCTCCTCCCCTCGCTCCCTCCCGTCCTCTTTCTTTCTTCTCTCTCTCTCTCTCTAATATACCTCTCCTCTACTATCCTTGACTGTCTATCTGTCTACCTGTCTGTTTGCCTGCCTGTCTATCTTTCTGTCTGCCTGTCTGTCTGCCTGTCTGTCTGCCTGTCTGTCTGTCTGTCTGTCTGTGTGTCTCTTTGTCTCTCTGCCTGTCTGTCTGTCTGTATGTCTGTCTGTCTGTGTGTCTGTCTTTCTCTCTTTCTCTCTCTTCCCTCTCTTCTTTATTCCTCCCTATCTCTCCCTTTCACACGTTTATACTTATCCTCTTTCCTTTGCCTGTCTGTCTGTCTATCTACTTGTATTTCTATCTCTTTCTTTGTTTGCTTGTGCGTGCGTCTCTCTCTTTCTTTGTCTCCCTCTCTTTCACTCTTTCTTCCTGTCTGTTTTTATATCGTTTTGTGTCTGTTTGTTAGCTAATTAAAGAATACTTGCCTCTCTTACCCTCTCTCATTCTGTCTATCTGTCTATTTAGCTGCCTGTCTCCCTGTCCTTCTGTCTACCTATCTACCTACCTACCTATCTATCTATCTATTTATCTGTCTATCTGTCGGTTTGTCCCTCTGTCTATTTATCTGTTACTCTATCTATCTGTTACTCTATCTATCTATCTATCTATCTATCTATCTATCTATCTATCTATTTTCTATTTATCTACCTAACTACCTATCTATCTATCTATCTATCTATCTATCTATCTACTAGCCTACCTACCTACTTGTCTGTCTATCTATCAATCTATCTATCTATCTATCTATCTATATATCTATATATCTATCTATCTATCTATATGTCTATCTATCTATCTATTCTTTACACATCCTCCCCCGTCATAACTTCCCACGACAAACAAAGGAACGAGCAACAAACAAGGCATAAAAACAAGCAAAACAATAACAAAGCAAAGGACTAAACTAAGAAACGACGTCGTAACAAACAACAAGCAATAATACAGACAACTACTATCACAAACGAAGCAAATACAAACAAAAGCAAACCACGCACTTTATCCTTAACAAAGACACGCTTCGGCGCAAACAAAGAAACATCGCAAATATAGACCTATATTTGGATTGTGAGAAACGAGTGTGTAAACAACAGAACAAACTTAAAACAAACAAACAAATAGATAAAAACAAGAATCGATTTAGAACATTAGATAAAAAAATATGAAAAAATAGCAATAGAAAGGTAATAACTAACGAAAGCTAAACAAGAAAACGTAAACTAAAGAAATGTAAACAAACTAAAACAAAACAAAACTGTAAATAGAGAATAAACAAGCAAATAAGCAGTTGTCTTCTTTGTTATTCTATTCATTTAAAGGTATCATTCTCTCTCTCTCTCTCTCTCTCTCTCTCTCTCTCTCTCTCTATCTATCTATCTATCTATCTATCTATCTATCTATCTATCTGTCTGTCTATCTATCTATCTATCTATCTATCTATCCATCTATCTCTATCTCCAATTATCTGTATATCCGTCTGTATGTGTCTGTCTGTCTGTCTCTCTCTCTCTCTCTCTCTCTCTCTCTCTCTCTCTCTCTCTCTCTCTCTCTCTCTCTCTTCTCTCTCTCTCTCTCTCTCTCTCTCTCTCTCTCTCCCTCTCTTGTTCGCTCTCTCTCTCTCTCTCTCTCTCTCTCTCTCTCTCTCTCTCTCTCTCTCTCTCTCCTCTCTCTCTCTCTCTCTCTCTCTCTGTGTATCTATCTATCTATCTATCTCTCCCCCCCCCCCCTCTCTCTCTCTCTCTCTCTCTCTCTCTCTCTCTCTCTCTCTCTCTCTCCCCTCTCTCTCTCTCTCTCTCTCTCTCTCTCTCTCTCTCTCTCTCTCTCTCTCTCTCTCTCTCTCTCTCTCTCTCTCTCTCTCTCTCTCTCTTGCAAAACTATCATATCTGCATTTATTGACGCCGAAATCACAGCCAGAGAAAGAGATACGGATAATCTCACTGTCATTTCAAGTGACGGGAAATACTTAATTGTTTGATTCCTTTAAAATACGACTTCGACTCATGACGAGAAAGATGATGACGATAATGATAATGTTGTTGACAGTAATAGAGATATTGATAACTATAATCACGTACACGCAATGTATACGTGATGCGTTTAAAAGTATATATGTATATGTACGTGTATACAGTTATAACTTATCATATGCGTCTGATGCTGTCATTATCATAAATATTATAATTGTCATCATATTCATTGTTATTATTATTTATTGTTATTACTGGTGTTCGATATTCCTATTGTCATTATTATTGTCATTATTCTTTTCCTCAATTTTATTCTTATTAACATTCTTATTCTTGTTTTTTTATTATTGTTATTATCATAATCTTATCATTGGTGCCACTGTTATTGTTGTTCTTGTTGTTGATTATAATACAAATAATACAATTGCTTTAATTATTGTTATTATTATATTACTTTCATGATTACTATTAATATTATATCCACTATTATCATTATTATTATTATCATTATTGTATTATTATTATTATTATTATTATTATTGTTATCCTTATTATTATTATTATTATTATTATTATTATTATTATTATTATTATTATTATTATTATTATTATTATTATTATTATTATTATTTTTATTATTATTATTATTATCATTATTATTATTATCATTGTTATCATTATCATCATCATTATTGTTATCATTATTATTATTATTATTATTATTATTATTATCATTATTATTATTATTATTATTATTATTATTATTATTATTATTATTATTATTATTATTATTATTATCATTATTATTATTATTACCATCATCAGCAGCAGCATTATCCTTATCATTATAAACAGTATTGTTATTATTATTATTATCTTTTAATTGTCATGATTATTAATATGAAGATTATTATTGTTATTATTATTATTATTATTATTATTATTATTATTATTATCATTATTATTATTATTATTATTATTTTTTTTTTTTTTATTATTATTACTATTATCATTATTAATATCATTATTATTATCATTACTATTATTATCATTATTATCATTATTATCTTCATTATCATTATTATTATCATTATTGTTATTATCATCATTATTACTATTATTATTAACATTATTATTATTTTTATTATTATTATTATTATTATCATCATTATTATTATTATTATTATTATTATTATTATTATTATTATTATTACAATAATAATAATTATTATTATTATCAATATGATTATTATTATCATTATTATTATTATTATTATTATTATTATTATCATTATTATTATTATTATTATTATCACCATCATCACCTTTATCCTTATCATTATTATTGTCATCATTATCATTATAATCATTATCATTATTAACCATTATTATTTAATGAATTTCACACAGTTTCAAGTGTTGTCAACTGGAATAAGTATATTTTCAGGTCGCTTTCCAGTGACTTAAGAAAATTAAGTGTCTTCTTTCAAACAAACACAATGTTCATTCTTGTTTTTTTTTTTATCGAAAGGATTCAATCTGAACTTTATATTCTGACATGATTCTATAGCCTTTCAATTTATTACTATCGTTATCATCGTTATTATTATCATGTCCCATCAATAATGTTACAGTTTTTTATTTTTGTATGATATCTGGTTTGTTGTGTTCTTTTTTGTTATTGTTATTATTGTTGTTATTATCATTACTCTTATTATTATTATTATTGTTGTTGTTATTGTCATTATTATTATCATTATTATTACAATCATCATTATTATTATTATTACTATAATAATAATAATAATTATTATTATTATTATTATCATTATTTTATTATTATTATTATTATTATTATTATTATTATTATTATTATTATTATCATTATTATTATTATCATTGTTATCATTATTATCATTATTATTATCATCATTATCGTTATTATTATTATTATCATTATTATTATTATTTTTATTATCATTATAATGATAATTATTATTATTATTGTTATAACTATCATTGTTACTATCATTATTACATTTATCATTACCATTGCTATTATTATTATCAATATCATTATCACTATTATTATCGTTATCATTATTATTATTATCATTACTATTATTATTATTATCATTATTTTTATCATCATTATTGTTACGTCTATCATTACTGTCATTATCATTACCTTCAGTTTTGCCATCAATATTGATATTATAATAATTATTACCATTATCATAATCATTACTGAGATTGCTATTATCATAATGCTGATAAATAATACTATTATATTATCATCATTATTCATTACAGTCCTCATTACCAAAGTCATTAATGTTACTATTATCATCATTATCATTATTTCATTTGTTATCATTATAATCGCTGTTCTTATGATCGTCATTGTTATTCTCGTTCAATATTATCATTATCATGATCGTCCTTTGTTGCTTATTTCTATATAATCTACAATCCATTTGTTTATTCCCCTTCTGTTTATACTCGTCTGAACATCCTCATAAATTTTCGCGTTCAAAGAGAAGTGAAAATTTTCCTCTCTCGGCAAACAAGGTCTTTGATGAAAACATCGTTCGTTTTTTTTTGTCTCTCTCTCTCTCTCTCTCTCTTCTCTCTTTCTCTCTTCTCTATTCTGTCTCC